TATTTGCAATCCGTGGCCTTCCTGCAGTTTCCTTTCTTAATAATGGTGATACACATTAATAAGTATCACTGGGTTTATTATATACAGGAAATATAGTTATATGTTATGGGGAGCATAACCTAAGATCGATTTATCACTTAAATTCTTGTGATATATTTAGCTGTTTACTTTGAAGATCTCAAACTTTGATATTAATGTATAGGAAAAGAACCATTTTTCCCCCACTGTATCCGATCTTAAACCCACTCTTATTGGTCATCCGTTTGCGCCGATATTTTTCTTTCCCCTTCAATCATATTAGGAACATTTTATTTTATTTTTGTGTTTGGCGTGGCTTTCATGTCAATCGGACACATGAAAAAGGTTGTTTTTCCAGTGATTTGTATATTTGATCACAGTAACCCCGGTTACAAAGAGATGGCTTCAATAACCAATTTTATTCCATACCAGCTGCAGTAGATATATGTTTGTATACGAATCTGCCGAATCAAAATTAAAACGTGAAATATAATCAGATCCCCCCTCACACGGATTCCGTTCACAGGTTTAGGTAATGAAAACTAGATCGACATGGGGAGGGAGGTTATTCTATTTTGTCGAATAAGAACCAATCTAAACATTTGGTTGCTATTGTTGTTGTTTTGTCTTCTGTCTAAAAAAAATCAGATATTTTCCCCTGATGCGATACCTCTGTGTGAAGGTCTGAAAAACTCCCTGTCGGGTGTAAATGCCATAGCGCTCAAAAACGACAAAGGTCCACAACTACATTATAGCACTGCGTTATCATTTAATTTCGTAACCGCCCGTTTGTGTTCGTTCTCGAGAATCAGATACAGGTATGCCGGTCTGAATGCGAGAATTTAGAGCCTCGACGCAGATTGGCCGCGTGGGAAACGATCTTTAATGAGATTGTTTTTTACCTCGTGTTACCCTTTTTGTGAGAAAGATGATTAAGTAATGTCTCAAAGCAATATTCATTGCAGATTATTAGCATAAACCGGGCGGTACCACGCCGCGCAGTCATGTCGTCCGGATTAACGAATAATGTACAGAGTTACGGCTACTGGTATGGATTTAAACAAACAACAGTGACAATGGGATTACATAGATCCATATATGTTACCATATCAGTTTTCACAATGAACACACTACTCTCCGCTTCTAGTCTTTTTACGTGCATTCTAGAAGGTTCGACTGAATGGCAAATAATTCTTAACGCTTAGAAAAGATAGATGCCGTGCATATTACAAGTCCCAGCGGCCCATTACAATCTTCTTTGTATTAGTTTGTCAGAGATTATTCCATGCCACCAGAGCCTCGGTAGATTGCCACTACAGCGGAATTTATACCCGGAAAATATTTGCACGACGCTATTTTCAACCGCTGTTGATATATAGGCAAATGTGTATGAAGGTTTTGTGTGAATATCAAAGCATGTGAACAACATATAGTTTTGTTGCATCCCAGTCTACAATCTAAAGTAATTCGATGCGCGGATGCATTGGGGTGTGCCGGATGCACAGCTTTATTCTTTAAGCATACTAATGATGTTGCCGCATTTCCCGACTTATTTAATATTTACACTATTATCCCGTACAACACGCACCTTTCCAAACATCTGTGCAATCTCCTTTTCAAAAAGATGTTTCCGCGCTTGAGTTTCGCTTGAGGGTTTCCAACCTGGTATTGCTGCTCACTGGCTAGACTTGCACAAGTCTCTAAGGCAATCATTATTAGTATAAATCATAACTTCTAGATTATGTAAATAATAACGAGTTGTTCCTGTAGGAGACTGGAGTACTGTCCGCATATCTAGACTTGCCTATTATAAGGATAAAATTACTATACATCCATGGATTTTTCTTTCAGTACAGCCTTGGAGCCAGGCTACTCATTGACCCTCTGGTCCAGATTCTATTTGACACGGAGGTATTATATCTCCACTATAATATACATTGTGTAAAACAAATATAACCACCAAATTCATTAAGATCAGACCATACTTCTCGCTGCTGCTAAACAAACAAAGTGGGAGCGAGAACTTAGACCTGATCTTAATGATATTGCAGCAACCACTCACCTTCAGGGCTTGTTCCATGGCATGTTCTGTGACTTTCTTGTGTGTTTTAGCAAGAGTTGTCACTTTAATATTTTCTTTGATTGAAGTAGGTAGTTAAACTGGAGGTAGCAGACAAGGCAATGTTGAATGACTTCAATCAATCGCACCGTTAAGGGTTCAAATGGCCCTACAGCACTCGTTTGTAAAGAGCGTCGACTTGTCGTCTGCTTCGAAAAGGGAGGTTACTCTATAGGGTTTACATCTGTCGCCATGCGGGAGTAAGCCTTGGCGAGAGATGCGTACGCAGCATATAGCTCTATAGGCCATATTGATATGGCTTTTTGTTCGATGTTTTGTACTCATGTACAGGAGGGGGTCGCGGATAGATCTGGGATCTAAGGCACCGCATCTCCAGAGTTGCGCCCCTTGGCCGTGCAATGATTCGCTGTCGTAGCCTATTGGTGTGAATCCCAGAACACCCCAGCTCTTGAGTTTGTCAAGACCATATATGCCAGTGCTCATAGGTTGCACTAAAGTGGTAAAAGTCTACGACCTAAATAATAGCGGGATTTCCTCCCACATAACTGATTAGCAAAGTAGACATAATTTATGGACAACAATCTGTTTATTTTACTGTAATAGTGACGTGTCGGTATAGATCCGTATACCGCTGTCAAGCAATGTACAGTTCATCCTTATTATAGTAAACTTAAGAAGTGTTTAAATTGTGTTTACTTGTCACTCGTCAATTTCTAAGAAATTCCTATCAAACAATTCATAACAGTATAGATATGATAACTGAACAATATCGTGAACGTATGCGGCGTTAAACCCACCCCCAATTATCAAGTGTATTAATTATCCATTCTACTATGACAAACATGGGGTAAAGAAATGGAGATACGACACTGGAACATCGAGGTTATATGAAACCAATCGGCTGCAGGTTGTCCCAATTAAAGTAAGTGTTTGGAAAAATCAAGCGCGGAATCCAGCAGTTTTAAAGGGAGGGATCCAAAATATCAATATTCTTACTCTGTCAATTTTACTGCCTACAACATACTACCCCCCCCCCCCCCCCCCCCCCCCCCCACACACACACACACACACACACCGTACACTACGATCCAGTGTCAGATGGCAGACTTACGTCAATAGTAAACGTCACAATAGTAAACGTGTAGATTATGAAATTAGAGCTTGTATTAAAGTCCTTAAGAAATGTAAATACTGAGATGAACTGCGTCACCTGCTAGACGATTGCATCAGTCCTCAATAGTTTCATTGTCTGCTGTTAACCGTTCCGCATGCCCCATATTCCTCCACCTTACCGTGGAATATATTTGTTTTATGAAAAAAAAACCAATCTAGAAACGCGTACAAGTCCAGCCAGCTCTAGCTGGCTCTATTTCACAGCATAGGGAACCTCTAAATTTTTTTATTTTTAGAGCCAAGAAGGATATTGTGTAATATTAGATTTCATGACTTAATGTTGGTCTTCATGCCCCACTGCAGCGTGGACTATTACATATCAAGAAAGGAAATTCCCAGCCTGATTTCGAAACCTTGGCAAGATGCCAACGCTGTCCTCATCCCTTATCGTCAGTGGAAGCTTTCTTCCAGACACCGACACGAGGCGTCACCGATACTGGTATTTCAATGGTATTGAAACTGTACGACGTGAGAAGTTATGACAATCGATAGCTGAACATTATCTCCTGTTCAGCTTTATTCACGCACATACACAATAACTGCTTCCGGTAGTCCAACAGACATGTTCCTGTTCTTCCTCAGTAGAGTGACAGTGGATATCCGCCCAAAAGCCCATGCATGGCCCATGTGTATATTGACGCTACTATCATATAAGCTGATATATGCGTCTGCTATGAAGACTGGGTATTGTCCCTAAAACAATCCAACATGTAATGCTTTCGTTTGAATATGATGTACATATCTTAGGCAGACATTTGTTAAAATGTAACTACAACGAATACCTAAGTATGAATGAAGAAAGGGACTAATGGCACATGACTGCTTTAAAGAATTGGTTATCACATGTGTTTCATAACATATCTTAGGTGTAAAACATTGATGGGCAGGTGCACGAGCTTCCTGTTTTGGAGTCACTTCCATGACTTTTGACATTAACATCAACCGCCCTACACATGTTGGAATAATGAAAGTTAATCAACTATAGTCTCCTTTCAGCCGAAATAATCAACTTAATCTTTTCAACTGTTAATATATTCACTTGCTTGGTCTCGAGTTTGTTTTTAGTTTTAATCGTTAAATTCACGTTTAACCTTACATCGTACAATCTTTTGAATATAAATTAAAGCATTACAACGAATATATTGTCATGCGCGTTCACATACACAGCTGATATTAAATTATTGCTTGCCTTCCAACTTGACCTGAATTTAGACACGTTTTCTTAGTAGTATTTTAAAGAGCGTCGTCACTGTCATGTGAATAGAGGGGCCCTCTTTGGGTTGATGAAAGATTTGCTATTCAAAACAAGTAAACAAGTCCATGTACTGACACCTTTATGATGCTACATGACGTGACATATTGCGCAACACTACTCCTCTTTTCTGTACATAAAGGACAAGTATTTGTATTGACCCAATCCCCCATTGTTTACATGAGCTATTTTCAACCTGGCGGCATTCAAATGAGTCAGGTCGTGACGTTAGTAAGGTCATTGTGCAACTACATCCGGGTACGTTCCCCGGACTTGCGCATTTCATCATCAACATTCAGCACAGATCTAGTATACAAGTTAACCGACTTTTAGTATAGCAAACAGTTTATGGCGAGTATAACTGAGGTATTTGGATTGCCAGAGATTCCAGTAAGTAGCGGACGATTTGTACACTTGATCGATAAACATCGGGCGTTGTATTTGAACCATGGCTAATTAGTCCGATTTGTTTTTCAGAATGAGCCCCCAGGAACCACCCGACTTCTCCGGATTAAAGTGGAGCAGGGTGTTAACCTAGCGAAGAAGGATATCTTTGGAGCAAGGTAAGAGTGACATTTCACGTGGGGAGCAGCTGGGGGGCGGGCGCGGCGGCGTCAGACGCCCCGACGCGTGTATCCTCAATAAGCGACAGGACAGCAGTACATGTAACCTACATTCACGTGACTTGTTCATGTTTACAAGTTGATATTATCATTATCCCGGAGACAATTCGGCGCTGTCCGTTGATCCAGGAACGTCTACCGCGCTTACCGACTTATTCCTCGTGTCACACTGAATGACTTGTGTTATGGTGATGGTGAGACAAACGTACATTACATTTATATCCTTTGGCATAGGATGATTATACTTACCTGATTGATACAAATATATCACTCACCACTGTCATAACATACCATATTTGCTGAGCAGAGGGGTGAGTGGGGGCGGGAAACTCATCAAAGGTGCCAAAATTTCTCAACACCATACCTGTTTTTGTGGATTTCACTAATGTGATTTAAGAACTGCATCACTTGAGGCTTTCTGCCACAGAAACATGTTAAAGCTGACATTACATAATTTATCTCAAATACTGTTCAAAGCAGCATTAAATACAATTCTCACTTACCATAGTACCATGTGCGAAAAGTATTACATGACTGAAAGTGAAGGATCTTGAAGACCTATGACAATAAGTTCAATGTACCAAACAGTGTCAATTTAAGTAAATGTGATATTAGCGTGAAAAATTGGAAATGTTTTCTGAAAATAATGAAGTAGTGATAATAGTCCACATTGTAAACAATTGGAATAAGAAATGATGTTCACAGCATTATTTCCATAATTCTCATCAGAAATGGTGAAATTACAATTTAGAAGCCATAAGGAAGCTTATGAAACAACACCTCCCAAATGAAATTGCACTGTGAAAATTAATACCACTAGTTACTGATTTAGACTTGTTTGGATGTGAGTGAGGGAGTATTCCATTTCACCGGGTGCACTGTTTCAGGTTTCAATTAGTGCTGTGTGGAGGACTGAACTCATGCTGCCAGCTGGAAGCTAAGCTAGGCTAATGAGTTCCTCTAATTAGGCAGCACCCTTCCAGGTGACCACGGGCACAGCTAGTGAGTGCTGCTGTACCAAGTCAGCAGCAGATTGTTTACCTTTATATAAGGGTTATGTCTATGCACAATGGCCAATATTCTCCTCCAAACTTAAAACTTGATATTAATTGTACAGAGTTTCCTCAAATTACAATGGACTAATTCATAAAAAAGAGATGGCTGACCAGGGCTTGATTAAAGGAACTTGATTTAACCTGCACAGGGTTGATGTTGACTAAACCAGGTTGCACCCTGGTCACATAAATTTATCAAAACTGAAACAGATGTATAAACTTATCTTAATAAGTAAAATCACAGATCTCTGATGACTGTGTCATGTGTCATGAAGTATGGTAAATAAAAATTTGAGATGATGAGTTTGTCCAAATATTGATGTTGTGTGGACATGTAAGGGTTAATCAGACACAAAGTTTTATGTGCACTTGGTGCATGTGGACATAAATATTAGGTTGCACTGGTGCATATTTCATATGGCTAAATTGAGCCCTGCAAATCAAACCCCACCTCACAACTAACCTTGGGGATCGTAAAGGGGTGTTTGATTTGCAAGTGGTGCCCAACTCTTATGATCCTAAAGGGGTGTTTGATTGGCAAATGGTGCCCAACCCTTATGATCGTAAAGGGGTGTTTGATTGGCAAGTGGTGCCCAACCCTTATGATCTTAAACGGGTGTTTGACTGGCAAATGGTGCCCAACCCTTATGATCGTAAAGGGGTGTTTGATTGGCAAGTGGTGCCCAACTCTTATGATCGTAAAGGGGTGTTTGACTGGCAAATGGTGCCCAACTCTTATGATCCTAAAGGGGTGTTTGAGTGGCAAATGGTGCCCAACCCTTATGATCGTAAAGGGGTGTTTGATTGGCAAGTGGTGCCCAACCCTTATGATCGTAAAGGGGTGTTTGACTGGCAAATGGTGCCCAACCCTTATGATCGTAAAGGGGTGTTTGATTGGCAATTGGTGCCCAACCCTTATGATCGTAAAGGGGTGTTTGATTGGCAAGTGGTGCCCAACTCTTATGATCGTAAAGGGGTGTTTGAGTGGCAAATGGTGCCCAACTCTTATGATCGTAAAGGGGTGTTTGATTGGCAAATGGTGCCCAACTCTTATGATCGTAAAGGGGTGTTTGACTGGCAAATGGTGCCCAACCCTTATGATTGTAAAGGGGTGTTTGATTGGCAAATGGTGCCCAACCCTTATGATCGTAAAAGGGTGTTTGATTGGCAAATGGTGCCCAACTCTTATGATCGTAAAAGGGTGTTTGATTGGCAAATGGTGCCCAACTCTTATGATCGTAAAGGGGTGTTTGATTGGCAAATGGTACCCAACTCTTATGATCGTAAAGGGGTGTTTGAGTGGCAAATGGTACCCAACTCTTATGATCGTAAAGGGGTGTTTGATTGGCAAATGGTACCCAACTCTTATGATCGTAAAGGGGTGTTTGAGTGGCAAATGGTACCCAACTCTTATGATCGTAAAGGGGTGTTTGAGTGGCAAATGGTACCCAACTCTTATGATCGTAAAGGGGTGTTTGAGTGGCAAATGGTACCCAACCCTTATGATCGTAAAGGGGTGTTTGACTGGCAAATGGTACCCAACTCTTATGATTGTAAAGGGGTGTTTGAGTGTTTTGAGTGGCAAGTGGTGGGAACCTAAGGAACCACTGTCAGCAGCCACAGCCAGTTAGCGCAATAGTAAGCTGCACCCAGTCAACTGCATTGTTACCGTGAGTGAGTGAGGGAGGGTTTAGCATTATTCCAGCAATAATCATGGCAGAGACCCCTGTTATTGGCTTCACACATTGTACTCATGTTGGGTGTTGAACCCAGGTCATTGGCGTGACGAGCCAACACTTTAACCACAGACTACCCCACCACTTGATGCAATGTTGGTAGAATGATAGGCAGGTTTATGCTGTGCTGATGAGATCTGACATTGTATGATGACTTGAAAAAATCTGTTTGAAAATGAATTTTGACATGTTTTCCAATGAAAAGGGATAATTTAAACATGAAATTTTTCACATTTCTTTTAATAGAAAATTTTGTAATAGTAAGGTTTCCTCAAGTTTTGCCCCCAAATATAATATTCGCTGTAATTGCTCAGGATGTCGAAAGAATATGTTGTGAAGCAAAATATGATAGATGGTTCCTTCTTTCAGTGAAATATTTGTAGATGGTTCCTTCTTTCAGTGAAATATTTGTAAGTCTTGAAAGCAGAGACAATAAAAATTTCTGTCTGAAAAAATACCCATCCCCTAGAATATTAGATGGTCACCTCCTAATGCATATGACTCTTGTGTCGATGATGATGTAGCCCAACAGTGCATGTGTTCACTTGTCATGGTTTGATTCTACACATGGATGCAGTTGACAAGACAGAGAATCCCAAACCGTGATGTATTCGTATCATTAGCATGATGCGGGGAGTGTGTTCAGTGAGGCCATCTATATTCAGGGAGGCCATGAGGAGGCTGATGTGAATATAGAGTGCTTGCCATTGTGTCCTGCATGTTTCCATGATTTCAGTGGAACCTGTTTATTGCTTATCTCTACTGGCCATGTTATACCCTGCTTAGTAGACTTGTCTAGGTTCTATTTGCTTATCTCATGTAAACTTTGAGTGGGGTATATTTATTCAGATAGTTTATGCATGTTACATATGATCATTCTCCTTACAATATATGACTGTTATATAAGTACAAATGTCAGAGTTCGTCACTCCTAGTATGAGAATGCTTAATTGCACAGAAAAAATCTGTTCCTGGTGCCAAGAGATCGCACATGGAATTTGTTTTTCACAAATGTGATCTGGACAAACACTTTGAAAATGAAGACCATAGACAAATGATTACAGCATGGTAAATTCACAAAATAAAACTGGGATTCAGAAATGTAAGCATGTTCAAAGAGTATTATCAAACTCTCTGGGAAGGAAGAGGACAGATTTTCTCAAGTGTATTACAAGTGTTATTTTATTATCCCCCCCGGCATGTAATGTGGGGGGATGTAGCTATGGGCATGTCTGTCCGTCTGTCTGAATCGTTTCCGGAGCAGAACTCAAAATTTGTTAAATAATCCTTCATCACACTTTGCATTTATATCACTTAAGTGGTGAAGTAAGTTGTGCCTTTTCCTATTTTGGAATTTTTCCAATTTTTTTTTTCTTACAATTTTCATGAAAGCATGCTGGACATAAGCTAACTTAGTGAGTGATGGTTGTTTCCAGAGCAGAACTCCGAAACTGTTAAACATTTTTTCATCAAACTTTGCATTTAGTGGTGAAGTTGTGCCTTTTGCTATTTAGGAATTTTAGAAATTTTTATTTTTTTACGTTTCCATGGCAACAAGTTGGACTTAGGTTCTATAAGGGTGGTGTTCGTTTCCGGAGCGTAACTCAAAAACTGTTAAATACTCTCTTACAAAACTTTGCATGACTACCAGGCACATACTGAACTGGTGCCTTTTGCTATTACAGAATTTTAGAATTTTTATTTTTTATGTTTCCATGGCAACAAGTTGGATTTAAGTTTTAATATAGGGTGGGTTCACTTATGGAGTATAACAAATAAACTGTTAAATATTTCCTTGCCAAGCATTGCATATCTATATATAAAGCACATACTGAATTGGTGCCATTTCATATTCAGGAGTTTTAGATATGTTTATTTTAGAATTTCCATTGCAGCTATTTTGACATGGGCTAAGAGAAATGTTGGGTCAGTTACCTGGTTTGGGACCATAACGTGTTAACATGGGCGGGGGATATAGATGACTTTGTTGACTATACGCTTGTTTAGTTATTGTTTCTTGTAATTTGTCATTTGTTTGCATAAAAAAAACACCACAGAAACACACTTGTTTTACTTTCCATTTCATATGGATGCGACCATGGTGGATCTTTTGTGGGTGAACAATATATGCTTCTTCAAGAACATTCAA